TAGGAAAAGAATTTATAATACAAAAAAAAATTAGGTTGAACCTTAAGGATATTTGCTATACTCTGATTGAACTCTAGCCAGGTATGATCTCATTAGATATCCTAATGGAGGTCTTTGTTCCATTTAATGACACAGTATTTTATTTTTTAAGAATCATTTTAAGCTGCTTTTGTTCTTCTTTGTCTCTGAGTTTAGATGTTTCTGGGTAAGAGTAATAATACAAAAAAAAATTAGGTTGAACCTTAAGGATATTTGCTATACTCTGATTGAACTCTAGCCAGGTATGATCTCATTAGATATCCTAATGGAGGTCTTTGTTCCATTTAATGACACAGTATTTTATTTTTTAAGAATCATTTTAAGCTGCTTTTGTTCTTCTTTGTCTCTGAGTTTAGATGTTTCTGGGTAAGAGTAGCTGCTCTTTTTTTCTTTTCTTTTTTCTTTACATTGGATGAAGATGAGGCAAAATCTGGGGGAGGCAGTTTTGATGTAATTTTAATAGCCCTCAAGTATTTGTCGAGTATTAGCTAAGCTATTGCCACTGTTTCATTTCCTGTTTGTCTTTCCATATGATTCTCTGTTGGATTAAACCAGCATGATCATATGGTCAACATACAGTATTCAGAAGTTACCACTGAGTAGCTCCATCTGAATACTTTCCACGAATGACTTAACCTTGTGCGTTCTTGGTCCAATCAAAAAACAATTCAAACTTCATTCCACTATCATGTAAAGAAGATGACTGACCTTGCAATTACTTTCCCCCTTCTTCCCCTCTTCTCTTTTACTGGAAGATAAATATAACGTATTTTCATATTAAAAGTAATAAACCTTTTAATGGACAACTCTACAAAATATATTGCCTGTCTTTGTGATTATGAAGTCAGCTAAGTCCTCTTGTTTCCTGTTCTTCAGCTTGTTAGAAGTGCTGGCTGACCACTTGAATGCTGAAATTGCTGCTGGAACTATTACATCTAAGCAGGATGCAATGGATTATATCACCTGGACTTACTTCTTCCGTCGGCTTATAATGAACCCAACGTGAGTATACAATACAAATGCAATTTAAGCTCAAGGTAACTTGAGGTTGGAGTTGATCCAAAGGTGGTCTATCTGCTGGTGGAGCCTAGAATACTTAGCTGTCTCCAGTGTAAAAGCATTTCTGGCCTACACAGAGAATAAAACTCATGTGCACATTTTTTAATAATTTTTTCTCTAAATATAAATGCATTTCTTGGCAGATAACTTTACAATTTAGTAACAACTATAAAACAGCCTTATTGAGAGAGCTACATCAGCATCCCTAAAATAAAATTCCAGATTATCACATTCTTTCCGATATTGTATTTCTAATGTGATACTTTTTTTTTTTAGCTACCACATTGGTATGTTCCGCCCAGTTTTCTACAGAAAATGTTTTAAGACCTGGACTTCCCTAATAAATGAGAGAATAGCTATCAGCTGTTCCTCTGTGATAAAGTTTGCTTTCATTAGGGTATCCTGGTGAAACCATGTGTGCAATATTTTCAGTGATTGCTATCATCCTGCCTAGCTCCAGCTGGAATGCAGATCATTCTGAGCTGTTCCAGCAACATAGCTGGCCTTGCCACAGCACTGGTTTGGGTAAATGGTATGTTCCTTGTCATGTGAACATTCACCTACCAAATTAATGTGACAAATAAAGAATTAGTCATTTAGATCACTAAGTATATCTTGATGTACTCCAGAGTGTTGTATTTCTGAAATCCTGTTAATGTCCATTACATTTGGCCAAATTGTCGGTTGTATTCTTTATAGGCAACTGCTGCTGGGAGCCTGCAGGTGATAAAAGAACTTCCTTTAATTCTTTTTTACTCTTCATTAATTTTCGGTTCTGCATCTAGTCCTATGCTAAGCATGTTCCACAAAACAAACAGAATTTCTGTCTAATCTTGGGAAATAAAAAATGCAGAGCATTAGAACTGCAAACTAAAGAAAACATACTGAATTTTCTCACTGCATAACTAGCAAAATATATACATTTATGTGGAAGGTATTTCTCCTCTGAGAGTGACCAGCAGCTAAATTCTGATTTTGTGTAGGGTACATGTTAGATTTTATTAGTTAAAAGAGTAAGTAATGTTATTTTAAAATGTCTTGCTCTTGAATTACTGTGGTAAAGTGCTTTTGTTGGTTTGTTTTCAGCAAGCTTTGATCATGTGGTACATGTGGTAGGTAGATTTTTTTTAAGACACAACATACAGCCCAAAGACAAGTGTAGAATATAGAAATATCATTGTTTAATTTAATAGGCAAGCTCTTCCCAATATAAAAGATGGCTTCCACTGGAGTGTGAGGTTAGCATACTGACTGGTGGTCCTTTTTTTCTCTGAAGTTCTTTTGTTGTGCAGTGTATGGAAAGCTAAATCTGGAGTTATCACAATTTCAACTTTAAAGCAAAAGTTCTGCTATTGTGAAACGATTGTGGGAAGAAAGTGGGGGGGGTGGGAAAGAATTGATAGTGACATGCAGAGCCTTTGTTGTGAGGAGGAAGATGAACAAATCTTGACTAGTCATGACCATAATGGCAGGACAGGAATGCACATTGAATTTTCTAATGAAATTGGAGTCTTTCATTGGAATGCCACACGTGCAGGTTGGAACAGTTCACAAGCTGAGCAGCTTTACCCCCTGTCTCATCCACACAGGTACTCAGCATTCCTTCTGTATTCAGTCATGCAGAGAGAAAAATGAAGGATGTATAAGAGAGGTCACTTCTAGATACCAAGCACAAATGCAATGGATGTGCACACATTCCATTCTTTGACATGATAATGATATTGTCATCCAAAGTTGTTGAACTATCCAGCTAGTAGATTTCCTGGACCTACTAGCTGTGGTATTTTTAGACATCCTACAAGCCTAGCAGTTCCAGCATGGTCCTTGTTTGAATGAGATGCATCCAAGGAAGACTGAAGAATTTAATGAACAGAAGTCAGTGATAGTTGAAATAACTTCGAATAAATTTCAATATGGTAATGGAGTTTACTGTGCCATAAATGAGCATATGAAATGATTGCTATTACCAAACAAGAACCATTAGTGACCCTTAATAATCCAAAGATTTTTAGGGTTTATTTTTTTCAAAAGAGTAGGAGAACAATTACAGAATTTTGGTTTAGGTAATTACACAGTACCCACTCACTGTCATTTGATAGCAGTGTTCTTTATCATGTCCTGTCCCAAAGCAATTTTGTTGACTTACTCTCCACTGTGAAACAAGCACTATTTTCCAGACAGCAGGTGATTGTACCTTAGTGGCAAATAAGTAATTCTTATATGCATGATTAGTAAATTGCCTTGGGATTCATTGGCGTAAAAGTCATTGCATGGGATGCTGTAAATCCCAAAAATAATGGGCTTAGATAATGTGCAGAAGATTTATTTTCTCATTTATTGCCAGTTTTAGCTACTTGTGTATTAAAGCTGCATAAACAAATGTAGGATCATTCGATTCCAATCCAGTATCATAAAATGCCTTACTGAATGCCTACAATTTGTACTGTTAAAGCAATGGTAATCTACCTTTGGTGGGAGACAGAGATCAAAGTATCCTTTCTACTCTTAAGTATCCAGGTTTCTTCTAAATATGCAGTCATTATGCCAGCTCTTCTGGCACACTTGAGATAATTTGTTAAACTCGTAATGATGGTTTTTATAACAGTGTTGAAAAATCTTTGTGTGTTGCAATACTTGTTTTCATCAAACCATTTTCTATTTCTTGTTTGATGAACCTCTGTCTCTCAAAATCTGTGGCATGGGTTTTAACTGTCTAGTTAAGATGACTGATTGAGCTGTTGATTTGGGGGAGTAGAGTAGCTGTGTGCTCATTTTGTTCAGAGACACACCGACTAGTCATGCTCATGCTGTTAAGAGATGATGTGCAAATGAGAGGGGTGGTCCAAATGAAGCTGTTTATCCAACTGTTTCAGTCTCAACATCCAGAGTTTCTTCCCTCTTCTTCCTCTCCCCCAAAGCAGTTATTCCTAAACACAGAGTTTTTTGAATTTGCATGTTAAGTCAAAGCTTCTGCACTACTTTGTTCAAGTGCTACAACATGTTCTCCATTCCACATACAACTGTAGTTGACATGTTCTTTACTTAGTCAAGGTCTTACAAGACCTGCCCTTTTCCTTGCAAGGGACTATTCTGACAGGCTCATCTATCTCCTTTCCTTGCCTGAAATTCCCTGACTATTTCATTCTTTTACCCTTATAAAAGATTATAATCTGCAGCTTTCTACAAAAGAGAAATGTCTATGGGAAACATTTTTTGTCAATCAGGTTATGATATTTTCCAGATCCATGTGCAATAAAAGAGAAATAGAAATTTACAACATATGTAAAGTTAAGCAGAATCAGCTTTCATTTGGAAAGTTCATTTTTTAGATATTCTGAGAGCACACATTGCTATCACTACTATAATGTGTGTGTTTATGTATTTATAAATATATATGAGAGTACCTCTGTGGACATGTACACACAAAATCAGTTTCCTGTGTAAATTAATTGTAAAGGCCTGAAAAAAAAGAATTCTATTAATTCAATCTGAGAATTAGTATTAACGGATATTTTCTTACTTTAGGCCAGTCTTAAAAAGTTTTCTGAAGTGAATGAATAATCCAACATAAATTTTAATTAAATTATCTCAGACCGATGCTTTTATCATCACACACTTCTGTTTTACTTTAAAATTCATTTTTTCAGTATGATTAGCTGAGCATGTGATTAAAACATCTGAATGCAAATCGTGATTACATACTATTCCAGTATAGTTTTCAGAATTGAGGTGGCAGCTAATATCAGGATAGAATTCAGTCAGGATGTAATAGATACGTATTTTGGTGATGAAATCAGTTATTCAGAATTTTAGGGCTCGTTTGGAATTATATCAGAAGGGGAGAGTTCCTGAAGAAGGTTGAGTTACCCAAGATTAAAATGGGAAAGTTTGGCAGTAGCTGCTAAGAACAGAAGCTAAGAAGGTGCAAGTATATTGCACAGCAGTAATTGGCAAGATCATAGAATCATAATTTAGGGGTTACAGCGGGCTTACAGATCATCTAGTCCCAATCCCCTGCCCTGGGCAGAGACACCTCCTCACTAGATGAGGTGGCTCAAGACTCATCCAACCTGGCCTTGAACACTGCCAGGGTTGGGGCAGCCACCACATCCCTGGGCAACCTGTGCCAGTGTCTCACCACCCTTAGAGTAAAAACCTTTTTTCTCACATCCAACCTAGACTTTCCCTCCTTCAGTTTGAACCCATTACCCTTTGTCCTATCATTGCAGTTCAATATGTAAGCAAATTTCTGTGTGCCTAGTAGCTCTCATTTCTCATGAACACATCTGAGTAGGTAAACTTTCTTGTAAATGTTTTAATTAGAAACGCAGACATGGAGGAAAATACCTTGCTGCTGTCAGAGCAACTGGGGTCATTTTTGATCATAAATAACCACAATGTACAATGTACCAAAAGCCTATGACAGTAATGTATCTATTTCTCATACCTGGTATAAGCAAATATATGGGTGCAAGAAAATAGTATAGAAGTAAAATAGAGACAGGCATTTCTGTCTGCAGCATTTGTGCATGCTGGAATGCATTTTAGCAAGCCAATCACGGACTCCAGAGTCAGTCAGTAATGTCTTAACAACAGAAGTGAGTTGGTGCATTGGTTCATAGCTCTCTGCTGTGAAGGTTCATCAGTTGTGCCATATACTCTGTACCATTTCCATGGTACCATTTGAAGGTGGCAGCTGCTGAAGGCCACAAGGAGCTGAAAATAAACAAAATTGATGGCTGCAGTAAAGCAACTTAGAAAAATTACTATCTATCTTCCCCCATTCTTGTTTATAACAAAATTCTGCTTTCAGGACCGTAAAGTCTTAGCACACTTGATGTGAATGCTGTGTATTCCTCCTTTTGTGCATTGGCTTCAAAAGTCCTATGGCTGGCAAGTCTTTCCTTTTAATATTTTTGTCTGACTGTGTCCCTGATTTTCATTATGTGCCACTATTACTACGGTATAATCTGAACATAAAGAACATGGTGCTGTAACAAATGACTTCACGGCATTGACAGTTATAGCAGGACCATTTCGAGGCTGATGAAAAATTTCCCAGAGAGATCTCGGGTCAGGTTTACATAAGCTAAACAGGAAATGATTGCCACCATTCACATTAAATCCTAAATGTTTCGTGTAACTTCATCTACATTTTATGTTCCTGCACGTCTCTCTGTCTCTCTCTCAGCTGATGAAATTCCACACTTCCTCAGATTAGAGAAATAAGTTCATGTTTCACGGTTTGTTATTCTTGCTAAGCTCTGTAAGGTTTGAGATTTTAAATATATATCATTTAAAAGGCAATAAAAAGTTCCTTCAGGTTTTGGTTTTTTTGATTGTTTAAATTTTACATACTTTGTAAATTTTTATGATACCTAGGGGTTTGTTATTGCTTTTTCCCAATGGACTACTAATGGAAGTTAGCCTGTCTAGCCCATGTGCTAGATGCTGTTAGGATAAAACTGCCTTTGACTTTCACACCTCTCAGGGGACGAGTAATTGTTGTGTTCAAACAGCCTGTAATTGTGATCCCGCTGGCTTTCTCACTGCGCTGCTGGCTATTAGAATCATTAAACAACTCAGCACCTGTTAACAGCATTGTAAATATTCAACCCTGCTTGTGTGCAGGTTGAGTCCAATATAGGAGAAGGCTTACAGAGCCCAGCCTCATAAATTAGAGCTTCTGACAAGTCAATTATTGTGAAACTGGGCTTCAGTGTGAAATAAATGAAATGGTGTGCTGATAAAAAGGTAGGCTGGCTGTTTATAGCAAAGGGAAAATAATGGCTAGATGATTCAATGCAGTGAGCATGAAACTGCATTGTTTTTATTCTTTATCTGTAATTAAATAGTTAGGTAATATAGCTTCACAGAGGAACTCACACACGATGCAGTTTTTATTCTCGGAGCATACCAACGTGCAGAATTCAACTTGCATTTATGCCTGTGCATTGAAAATGCTGTCTGATGTCATGATACCCTTGTTTTCACTAATGATTTTAACACAGTCTTTCTAGATGAATGGCTTTGATTTTTATTAGGGGGAAAATGTTCTGAATGACCAAGATGCTCCTATGGGTGTGCTCAAAATTATATTTACCCCATTATAGGTAGTAGTTAAAACATACTGGTACCACTTCACTCAAGATTACAAACCATTTAAGATCTTTCTTTGCATTGTTTCATTTGCACTAGGCACTAGATATTTACTCCTTGGACAAAAAAAATTGCCAAAAAGTGATGAATTTAAATTTCACATCATTTTTAAAAGGCACTATGCCTTGTATGGTTATAACTTCAGTGTGAAATGCTGCAGAGCACAAGATAAAATCTCTTTGAATTAGTGTCTTAAATTGAAGTCTCAGCAAAACATTTCAGTGTATTGCCTGTGTTCCTTCCTTTGTTTTATCAGTATTCATCAGCAATGTTGAGATACTGCAAATAAAAGTGCTGAAATGATATGGTGTAAATCTGAATACCATGACAACAAAGTGCCTTAATTATAATCATTTCAGGAGTGTTATATTCAATTCAGAGAAAAAAAGCTAATGAATCATTAGTGGTTTAGGTGTATAAGATAGAAAAATTTTTTCACATCCTTAAACAACTTATCTAGCTAATTTGCTCAATTATTTTCAGAAGGTAAACAAAATTTTACAAAGTAATTTCTGCTAATAAACAGAAACTCAATGTGTTCAGTGAAGTCAGGCAGATAAAAGGAGCAGAGGGAAATATTGACCATTTTCTATCATTATTATGTTATTTCAGTAAATTTGAAAGGGGACTCATGAAAATTAAGTTGCATCAAACACTATTAAGTACTGTTGCTACAAATAAGTTTTCTTTGCCCAAGGCTGATAATGTAGGGCTGTCTACCATAGAAAACATTTTAGTCAATGTAACTATTTCTATTAGTTTGATTTTGGACAATTTGAGGTCATCTCAGCATGAACCCACATAAAATGTCACAGAGCTGAATACTCCACTGCCATATATCTGTGCTTTGTTGTTGTCTAGTGTAGCTGTTTCCTGCTATCAGGACAGATTTTTAAAAATCTTTTTCTTGTGGTAGTACTGTTTTACTCCAACTTTACCCAATTATAAGTGAACATTGAAAGCTTCAGAGAATTAATTTGGGATTAGTAGCAAAGGGGAAAAGGTCTGGAAATTACTATACTGCTGTTTAGCATTTAGGGTTATGCTATTGCTATGAAAAAAGATATATGTTTAAAACTTTGGTTAAGAAAATAATAATGCAAAGCAGATGCTGTAACTAAAGAAATTATGGAAGGATGCTTGTAGTTTATACAAATGCTATTCCATCTTTTCAAATTTGCAAACAGCAGCATTGCAGTAAATGAAATAAAGCTTAACTCAGAGTATGGAATTCATCTGCCCAAATATAGCATCAACAACTGAACTGGTTGTTTAAAATTCTTTTTATTTTTCATCAGTGATTGCATTTCACCTCATCCTAAAGCAGATTTTTAAAATACTTCAGATGAATAGCATTCTGCAAGCACAGGTTTCTTTCCATTGCCAGTAAAGTGAGCTAAAAAGACTCACTCAGGTGCAGCTGTAACTATGTAAAATTGGCTAAAATGAATCTCAGCACATGGTTTTGCAGCCTGTTGTTCACCTGCACGGAACAGCATGCAAAGAACCTACTCTCCATTGCAGCATGTGGTATTGTTTCAAGTGGGGATGCTGAGCACGTTGTAACAGTAGGAAATTTTAGTCAAGCAACGAGGTAGAACAAAGAAGCATCTTTCACCATGGCAGTGAGCTCAGTAGTGTATTTGTGCCACAAATATGTGACAGAATTAAATGAGCAGGAGCTGTGCTTTTTACTGTGCTTTTTAACATTTCATTAACACATCATATTTTTTGTTAGTTGGAATTCTGCTTTGAAATTTTGTGATTTAATTGCTTAAATTCAGAATTTGAAAACTTTCTGAGCATGCTCAGTTTTTCTTTACTACTCAATGGACTTAGTACTTTGTGAATTGATGCCTTTGTTGAATCTAGGACACAAGTTCTTCTTTTTATGTGGAGTAAGTTATGTTAGTTTGCGTGAGTAAAAATCTTATAATACACTTGAAGTTCTACAGTTAAGGAGTGCAGACTTCAGCCACTATGTCTTTTCTATATGCTGGCATAGAAGGATGTTTTGGCACACTTTATAAACATTTTTCCTTCCTACAGAGAACTAAGAGCCATTGTGACTATTTAGTTTACATACAGAATTTTACATGAAAGTGAACGTGTGAAGTAGCCACATTGACAAATACCATGGTCCTTTTTTTTTTTAGCAATTTTAACTTTGAGAATAAAATGTCACAGGGATTTAATGATAAACACCAACGCTTGGGTTGGTCTAAGTTTACTTTTTCAAGAGATGTCACTATATGCCTAGTTTTTACTTTGAATTCCAAGATGTGAGAGCAGTTTCTCTCCCTTCTTTTCTTTTGAAGTTCAAATGCTGCTGCTTGTGTTAATATTGCTTATTCACTTTCATGCTTATCAGGAAAGTGTATTTATGCAATCAGGAACATTTTCCCAGTAACAAGATATAGCCAGTCCAGTTCTGGTTTTTGTATCAACCTTTCTATTAATAGACAGATAAATTACCATCTTTCCATATGTACATGCTTCTCTTACATTGGTTACTCCCACAAACCATTTTGAGAATCATAAATTTCTTGTTGGCCTTTATAAGAGAGTATTTTTGTGTTTAATGTGGATATTTGCTGTTCTGTGTGTACATTGTAGAAGCCTTGTAAGTTATCCTACAAGACATTATTGTTCAAAATCTTCAGAGTGTAAAAAATGTTCATGTAATGCATCTGTTTTCAATTTCTCTAGTTACTATAACTTGGATGATGTGAGCCATGACACTATGAATAAGTACCTCTCAAGCCTTGTTGAGAAATCCCTGTTTGATTTGGAAGGCTCCTACTGTATTGAGATTGGGGAGGTAAGACTAATCTGTGCCTTACAAGATTCAGTAAGATCCATGCTCCTGGCAGTTGTGAACAGCAAGGGAACATGCTCCTTGATTGGAGCTGCTAGAGTTTGTCTATGGAGATCTTTGTAAGATTTAGGTTGAAATCTGTTGCAGCTAAATTATGACGCTAAATCGTTTTTTGCTGATGTTTCTTATAGTCTTAACATATTTCACAGTTCTATAGGAAGCCTTTATGTTGCTCTGCTGGGGAAGCACATGTGTTTGATTCCTCTCCTCACAGGATAATCGCAGCATCGAGCCGCTGACGTACGGCCGCATTGCGTCCTATTACTATTTGAAGCATCCAACTATTGGAATGTTCAAAGACCAGTTGAAACCCGAAAGCAACATTGAAGAATTGCTCTTAATTCTGACAGTAAGTGCTGATATTTTCTTAGCATAAACATACCTAATTTTTTGGTTCTTAAAGACATTTACAAGTGCATGAAAAAATGCCACGAAATAAGAAAAAGCCTTTCTTCCTTGGTCTATGATTTATTTTTTATTTTTTGAGACATTTTTGATGTTTCAAGTGTTTCATCTAATGAGTACATCAAAATTTCTTTAGACACTACTTTGTCTTCTTATGTCCCTTTACAATGTTCAGGATCTATACAAATCTGATATTTGTCTTTTCTAAGTCAGGTGTAATACTAATGTGGGGGGAGGAGAGGGGAAAGTGTTTCTAAGTTTGGAATAATACTCAAATGCCAGAATAATAACTGCATATCCTAAACCTGCATCAGTACCATCATTTGGCCCTGGGATGATCTGGAAGATACAGCAGCTTTAAGAAGTGAGGGAGACATATGGAGAAGACCTCTTTCCTAAAATGTCTTTTTTTTCCTTCTCCCATCCACCCCATGATCCCCTAGGGTCATAGCTTGCAATAACACCATTTCATACAGTTAGTCTAGTGACTGTCTAACAGAGAAGTGCAATGTGAGGCCAAAGACACAGTGTATGATACGCTGTGATATTATTCCATTCTCACCAAAAAAAGAAGCAGAATTTACTCCATTTTCCCTTTTAAGTAGTTCAGCAGTTATATCTACAGAATCTCCTTTTACCAAAGGGTGTAACTCTACTTGCACACACATATATGAAAACAAGAAGTGCCTGAATATTATCCAGAAAAACTTCTTTCTGCCCACTGAATGATTATAGTCTCTGTTGCATTATATTCATTATACAAGTTCTGATTCATTATACAATTCTGATTTCCAAGCCTTAACTTCAAAAGACCCAAATTCTAAAAAGTTCTGATTTCCAAGCCTTAACTTCAAAATTTAGGGCCCCTATCTTACAGTAATTGGGCATGTTACTTTTATATTCATTATTGTTTTGACATGCTGCCAAAACATCTCTGAGGAGAAATACAAGAAGAAAAGTTAAAATAGTGCTATTCAACAGTTTGCAACTTGGCAAAACCTGATCAGCATTTTATGACACTAGGAAAACCACTTTTCTAGGAGAGAGACTTTGCTTTCTGATAAATTTAAATCACCTGCTGCAAACATTCAGAGTGTTACAGCTCAGAAATAAAGTCCACAGTAATCTTTTATAATGGAAAGTGTTAGACAGCCTAAATAGGGGAATTGCCATCACTGACCCTGCAGTGCCTGTTGTTCTGTTGTCAGAAAACATTGCAATTATATGAGATGAAATTCAGTGTATTCAGATGAATCCAAAGTGCCAATCATCCACAATACCGATATAACCCAAATGTAAAATAGCTGAAATTTTAAAAAGAAGCACCCACATGTGAACAGAAGTTTAATAAGCAATCATCCACAATACCTATATAACCCATATGTAAAATAGCTGAAATTCTAAAAAGAAACACCCACATGTGAACAGAAGTTTAATAATGCAATACTGAGTATTCAAATGAAAGCTTTATTCCAGCTGCTGTCTCTTTAAAAATATCTTCTTCTCTCTAGAGACAATTTTCTCCACCTAGAGACATCAGGATTTTTTTTTCAGGCAAATCTGGATGAGGAAAGTTTGAGAATAGCATTAGCAGAGATATGAGCATTTCATAACACTAAGCTAGTGAGCAGCATATGGAAGAGGAATGATGGAAGCAAAACCTAGTGTTCTGTATCTTAAGTCAGGGCTGCTCCTCTGTCTGAACAGCTTGTGTTCATGACATGCAAAAGTAAATGGCAAATATTTCTGTTGTAGAGGAAACCTAGGACCTTGCTGTTGGGCAGAGATTGTAACATTTTTAATTCATTTATCTTGCTTTAATTCTTTCTAATTTGTTTTCTCTCATAGAATTATAATCTTAGAAGTTGTCCATTTACAGTCTTAAGAGGAATGAGACTAAAAATAAAATTGCTTAAGGGTCAAAATGTGCCACGTGTGTCGATTTAAAGGATGAAAAGGATGTATGAGTGCTGGATGCCATTAGAGCTGACAGCTTTTGCTTACTTGTTATGTGGATGTTGATTTTCCTAATTACTAGTGGAACTACTATTCTGTCTTGCTGAAGGTGTAAATTGAAAGTTTTTTCAATCTGATGTAGTGTTGAAAAGAATTGCCATTTCAACAGTTATTGCCAAGGATTTTTTTCCCCCCTTAAACACTGTGAATTAATGAGTTTTATAATTACAGCAGTTGCTTCACACCTCTATTGTTAACCAATGACATTACATCTGCCTCGCTCCACTGTTGCCCTCCTCCTTCTTATTGAAGCATTTAGCAGTTTTGGCAATAGGGAATTACATGGCATGGGGTAAGTAGTCTAATTAGGTATAAGTGAAAATCCTGAGGGAAAAGGATGTTTAAAAAGTAATTTGAAGAATCTCTTAATGATGCTGGAACTGAACGCTGTAGCTATAGTACAAAAAGGCCTGTTATCATTACCAAACATAATTACACTGATCACTCAGTTTTCAAGTTTTGAATTTTGGACTGTGTTACTTAAGCATAACCATCAAAACACTTTTTCATGCAGTTGCAGGATTTTGTAGATGAAACACTTTTTATTAGTTGGCATTTTTCATAGTCTTGCAAACCTTTAGGCAGTTACAAGTTGTCTGGTGTATATAAGGAAGGCAGAAGGGAACAATTTTAACAAAGAAAATTCTGATGTTGTGGGTTTGAAATGGGGTATATGCCAAATAAAGGAGCAAAGGTTTGTTTCAAACAAAGCAAGATTGCATTCAAGAATTCAGAAATTTAGGATTGTATGAAAGGGTTTAAATACAAGTTTGATTTAGGGGCTTTGATCTTTTTCCATGCTGATTGGAATAGTCAAATTTCAGGATTATTCACCAGTGAATTATCAAGGAATCTTTACAATTCATGTGAATAACTAAGTTTGAGTCATCCTGTTTCTAGTGTTGATGGATTTCTTAACAAGTCACTCGATAGCAGGATTTGTTTCCACTTAGTAGTCAAGATCATCCATAGTCTTCTCCAGTATCTATTCTTTTCTCTTTATTTTATCTTTTGGTCATCTGCCAACATTTTGCAAGATCAAATGAATTTTCTTCCAGTATGGTTTGGGGGCTGAATTATCCATAACATGAACAGGATCATAGCACATGGGAACAGCCCCACAGTTGTGCTGGAATTATACAGTAAGAAGTGATTCAAGTAGGTGGGGTACAATCCCCTCACACTTTCCCTGCTCCTCATGGTAAATCTGTACTTGAGATGTTTCATCTATCTTGGTTTTGCAGTCAGAAGTTCAGATTTAGTTACTTTTGTAGCTGATTTGTGCCAGTGGACCTGTATTTTTCTGAGAGCTGTTTGATGCTTTTCCGTAGAGCTTTCTTTAAAACTTTCCTAACCGTGCTCAGACAGTAGTAATCCAAATGAGCTTAATCACTGTTGAGTTCTGGTGCTTCTTGCATTAAGTATTATTGATGAGAAAGTGTTCATGAATTATTACTGACAGGCTGGATTTCCCTGAGGTACCTAAAGGCTGTTTCCTTTTATTCTGAAACTTAGGTGCAGAGATTAAAACAGGTCTAGGTAAAAAACAGTGAGAGATGCTTTGGGGTAATTGTTGGTTTTTTGCATCAGTCACCACAAATATTTTTAAAAGCAAATATAGATTTGTACCTTGAGGAAAGAAGGTCTGTCTTGCTGATTGATCAGAACTGTGATGGCTAGATCCACTAGATTCATGATTTTTGGCAATTTGCTGCTACACTTACCTTGTTATCTGGTTAATAGTCCTATTTACAAAGCAAACAGTTTGACATACCTGTCCATACCAGACAGTGAAGGGGAGAATGTTTTTACCATCTCTCATCCCTTGTTTTATCTGCATGTTGTCTCCGATTTCTGTCTTTTTAATTCTACTTAGAAAACTTGTGCCTACTGCTGCTTTTCATGTAAACTGATTATAAGAGATAGGTTTCTTTTGTTAGAAGCTTTTGGGGTGCAGAACAACATGGTATTTGGGGTGTAGTGGGGCATACATGTTTGTCTTTCCATGATCTAAACATGGCCTAAATTTGGTATCCACACACCTCTTCCCTATGTTTCTGTCTGATAATTGATACAGTTACACTGACCTGTATTAGACCAAGTATTCCAGAACTCAGCAGAAAATCTGGCATTGCTGGAGTCACTGATTTGGAAGGTATAAGGAGTTGGTTCTTGAAACAGATGCTCTCCATCTCAGATACACAGATAACAAAAGAGTAAAGCTATTAATGCCTTCATCTGTCTTTCCTTACCTTTTAGGTATTTGTACTATGAGATTCTAGGTAACTCAGTTAACCTGTAGCTTTATTTTCTGTTCGTCATCATTGGCACATCCCATTCTAACCAGGGAAATACATGAGTCTTTGTGAATATTTGCACTCTTAGGCTAAAATAATTTCATTTCTGTATCAGGATTCTATTGCTGGTTCAGTCTCCCATGAAGGGGCCACAAAGGTTTTTTACTCAGTGTTAAACCACCTTTTCAACTTGTCTCCAGTTAGATACCAGGGAAGGAGGAATTAATAAGTTACAAAAACACTGTCTAAGAAGAAGCTATTGTGGTCTGCATTTTGCAGTATTTTGTCTGCAAGCCTTGGCAGGGACATTGCTTTTAAGGTATTTTAAGATAGTATGTAAAACTGGCTTTCTCTTCTATAGTAATTTCAGAAAAAAATCAGATCATTTTTCCTAAGTAAGTAATTTTCTCATTTTAAATTACATTTGTGTTTAATTTAGAAGAAAATAAAGGTGCTACTATGATTTTCTTCAAGGCATAAAAGCACAGCAAGACTCTAGTCTTTGTGTTATTCTTTTTAAATATGACATTTCAGTGTCAGGAGCGGAAATACTCTATAATGTAAAATTTCTATTGGCTGAAAAGCAATTATGTTGCATGCTAACCTTTAAAGAACTTCCATATTTGATCTC